CTCCAGGACCCTGCTGAGGGTGTAGAGCTGGTCCAGTGTTCCACGACCAGGACGAAAACCACACTGCTCTTCCTGAATCTGAGGTTCGACTATCCGACGGACCCTCCTCCAGGACCCCCGAATAGACTAAACAAGCATGTCAGATTATTATTTAATCAGCTCTGATTGCACAGAAACTTCAAGAATCAACATTCTAACATGTAGCATCCATTTTTACTTGTGTAAACAGCGAGATGGATGTGACGTCACATTGTCTTTTGTGCATGTTGGTTGAATCAGTGCCATGGAGAGTTCACACTGTAGTCATATGGACTTCGCATTTAAAGTATAACGTAAACGTCCACACCAATAAATCTGATTTGAGCATTAAGACCTGCAGTGTGAACGTAGATTAAATGAGCAAGTTCAGTGTTAACTTGGCCTAAATCAACATTTATTTCTATTTACTTCCTTGTTACAGTTCATCATGTGGAAAATGGATGTTTTCTTAATTGTTTATTTTTTAAGTTTAATTTTTGTTTCTTTTATCAGGGTGCCCCAAAAGACCCTTCATCAGAAGCCGTCCTGGCAAAGCGAGCAAAACGAAAGCTGGAGCGGGAGCGCAGGAAGAGGAAGAACAAGGAGTTTCAGATGAAGAAACTGGCTGAAAAAAATGGCCAGGAACCGCCAGCAGAGGTCAAAAAAGAAGAGCCCACTCCTCCTGCCTCAGATAAAAGGATGAAGACCTCTATTGTTTTTAACAATTTTGAGACGGTAGAAGAGGAATTTGAAACTAAAGTACAAAAGAAGATGAAGAAGAAAATGAACCTTAAAGGAAACATAACGCCTCTGACGGGGAGGAACTACAAACAGCTGCTGAGTCGCGTGGAGGCTCGCAAAGCAAAGCTGGAGCAGCTGAGAGAGAAGGACGAGCAGAAGGCCTCGGAGATGGAGAAGAAAATCAAATGGACCAACTTGCTTTACAAGGCGGAGGGCATCAAAATCAAAGATGACGAGGACATGCTGCGCGCCTCCTTAAAGAGGAAGGAGAAGATGCGAACGCAGAGGAAGAAGACGTGGGAGCAGCGGAGCGAGCACGTCATCGAAAAGATGCAGAAGAGACAAGACAAGAGGAAAAAGAACATCCAGAAACGCAAACAAGTCAAAATTGAGAAAAAGAAGAACAAGTTGAGGAAGAAGGGCCGAGTCCTTGCTGAGGATTTGAAAAAAGCAACAGGTTAAAGGAAGAGTTTGTAACTTATGTTATCACTCTTTTAGGATGAAACTGTAGTACTTTACATGTGTTCCTCTTGTGCTCATGGTAAATAAATGTATTTGTTTTATAAATGCTGAAACTCATTTGTCTTTTATTTAGTAAAATATAAAGCAGAGGGAGTGGAAGTCCAAATTGTTTAATTCATAAAAGGCAAACAAACAATGGTTTAAAATAAGTCAGGCTTTGTATGATTACTTTGAACACTGTTGATGTTCTGTGTACATATTAAACACAAAAAACTGCTTAAAAGACATTTTTTAATTATATAATAGTAAATATATAATAGTTGAGAATCTTTCCACAAACCTCACTTACAAATGTTCCATCCATTATCATTGCCTGCTTCTTCCTTTCAGGGTCACGGGGGTCACTGGTACCCAATCCAGCACTGTGAGGGCCACCGTGGACAGGTCCCAAGTCCTTCACAGGGACACAAAGAGACAAACAAGCATTCACTCGCTCACTCACCCAGGCACAGTTTAGGGTTACCAATTAGCCTCGTGTTCTTGTTTTTGGTCTGGGGAAAGAAAAAAAAAACAGGCACAGAGAGAACATGCAAACTATCCAGAAAGGTCCCGGGCCAGGATTCAATCCAGCAACCTTCTTGCTGAGAGCCATGTTCCACATATTTTAATAAAGGGGATATGCAAAATCCCTATTTTTAGCAGTTAAATACATTTTTGTTGTCATCTCAAGAACTGTAGAAAATTAGTATGTAGTCTCTCCTGGTGCTGTGTAGATACCTTTATTTTGTTCGGGTCAGAATGCAGTCAATTATTTTGAAATTCATTTTGAAAATCCAGGATTAAACAAAGAATTATCATTCAAATGCTATTCCAGCTTATCTAATGTGACTAGATTTATTTATTTGTTTATTTATTTATTGGTGGTTCAGCTTAATTCCTGCGTGTGACCAAGGTTTAAGCGCTTTTCTTTTTCTTTTTCTTTTCTTTTTTTAATCTGAGCCAAATGATTCGGTTCCTAAAACTGAGCCGGAATTCCCATCAGCTGTCGCTGTTTGCAAAACGTGGCTCCGCCCACTCCGGAAGTCAAAATGAAAACAGAGGCAGAAGGGGGAAAATAACGTGAGAATCCGTCTGAGCACAGCCTACTTCGTATTTATAGCGGAAATAAATGAGCTCGGGATTAAAGTCGAAGGTGACCCACTTCTGTATGTAGACTAAAATTCAGTGACACTTTTTTGTTTTGTCTCCCAGTTTGAGAAAAGAATGTCCATCCATTTATGGGAATAATCGGGAATCTGGCTGGTAAATTCTCTGTTATCCGTCCCAGTTTATTACTAAGTAACCAATACAAGGTGAGTACTGCTGTACGGAACTGAAGAGACGTTTTAGTACTGATATGGTTCGCTTAAATTATGTTTATTTCAGACAGTCATGTCCAGACGTCTTCATGCAAACAGAACTGTTGGTGTTGATAAAAATGTTTGGTAAGTAAAGATTGCTTTTTGGAGAACTTTGTATCCATTCATCCAGCTGTAATTGTACACAGAAACATAATAATACAACTAATGCATCTATAAAGAATAAAAGCTTCATTAATTTATAATAAATGTCCAAGACTTTACCTCTCAAATGACTTATTTAGTGTTTCCTGTAAAGACTAAATAAGGTGTTATTTTGAACCTGAAGTGTTTTTTATAAGGAGTTAAAAATAAATCACCTGATTGGTGGAGAACTGTGGGTGGAACAGTCAGAGACCAAAGTCCTTAAAACATACAACCTAAAGAATGAGTTTGTTTACATCTTATTTTGTCTAATTAAAAAAACGCATAAATGAGTGCTTTTCTGTCAATAAAAAGTGATTGGATCAATCTAATTAACACAAAACAAGTCTTAAAAGTTGTGTTTGTCTTTTTCTGAATGAGGCTTTTTGAAATGCAGCTCACTCCAGTGAAACTAAGTAGAATATTATAATTCTTTATTATCCAAAAATGTGGAAAAAAAAGGGGGTTGGTTGTATAAAACTCATTACCTATAATTGATTTAATCTAAGCAGACAATAAACACCTCAACATTTCAAAATGAATCCAACATCCTTTGTTCTGTCAATAAAGATATAAAACAAAAAAATCTTTTAGGTCAAATTTAATCTTTCCATTCATCATTTTACGCTACATGTGTTTGTGATCAGCCACCTTTGTTGTTATGTCTTGGTATCCAGGCCTTTTCGTGTTTTAAAAAAATCCTAGTTAAAGAGTAAACCTTCACACTCACCGATAGCACCTCATTTACTTTTGTTTCGTAGTTGCTCCTAGAAATGAGGCTTCTGTATTATAAAACATTATACTTAAATAAAAACTATTTATCTAACAGATGTAATTTAACTTGGCAAACTGGTTTCATTTAGATACCGGAAGCAGAATACTTCAAAACTAGAAATTATGAGAGTTCTCTGGAGCATTTATGAACAATTCATATCTTAACCTGTTGCAGATAGCTTTTGAATGACCTCGGTTTGGAGGAATAGGGTTTAATACCAAACTGTTCAAAAAAATCTATCTGCAACAGGTGAGATATTAACTGTTCGTATCTTCTCACAGAAACCTGCTTCAAAATACCCAAAAATATCCATTTAATTGTGTTGACAGCATTAGTTTAAATATAATACCATGTCTAGAACTGTATTGTCTGACATGTTTTGTGCCAACAGGGTTGAATTCACCCAGCTGGCTGCAGACTACAAAGCAGTGAACCTGGGTCAGGGCTTTCCCGACTTCTCTCCTCCACAGTTTGTTCAGGATGCTTTCTGTAAAGCTGTGAGCGGAGGACCCTCAATGCACCAGTACACTAGAGCTTTTGTAGGTGGAACTACACACCACGACACACCTTTTGTTATAGAAATGTCCAAACTATGAGCTGATTATTTTTGTTTTAATGTCTTTAAAAAGGACAAGTATGTGCAAAAGAGTCACTTCATGAGTTTAGTTTTGTTGTTTCTTTTTTTGTTGTTGTTGTTTGTTTTGTTTTTTTTTGTCGCCCAGGGTCATCCTCGTCTCGTAAAAAGTCTCGCCAAATTCTTCAGCAGGATTGTGGGGCATGAGATCGATCCGCTCGAAGACATTTTGGTGACGGTTGGAGCTTATCAGGCGCTCTTCTGTGCATTTCAGGCTCTAATTGATGATGGAGATGAGGTAAGAAAGCTGTGACGACATTAACATGCTGTGTAATAGTGGCTTCCCTATACCGATACCAGTATTTTAACAAGTACTCGTACAACCGATACCTGTGTCAGTATCAGCATCGATTTTCCATTCAGTGTGCTACTGTTTACATTTCAAGTGAACGTTTGGATTATACAAGTTGAAGGCAAATTTAAAATGTTGCAACAGTATAAATCATGCTGTAAATTTGATTTGATCCAATCAGAGGGGCCTATAAGGAAGGAAACAACTTGCTCTAATGGGGGGATGGGGCCTGGGTTGGGTCCTAGCACGGACCCCACCCCTCCCTCAACATCACCTACTCCTCTGAACCCGCCCCATTTTACCTCCCCTTTATG